GACGACGACGATGACGACTTATCCAATCTATGCCAGCATTTTGCCAGATTTTTCATATGTTTAAGGCACATGCTGGTCTAAATTGTCAAAGTGTGAAAGTGGCTTTAGAAAAAATAGTGCATTTTTTCTGAGAAATGCTGTATGAAATAGGCACATGAAATTTTGTGAGAAAAGATGCCAATCAATACAGATGTCAACATAATAAGATCATACATGGAGAAGATGGATGAATAATTATTTGAATTTATTCTTCTGATATAAAAATTGCAAACATTTTAGAGGTACATTTAAGGGGTTTAAGATAATAGGTAGGAAATTTAACATCAATTTTTGTTCATTAAATATTTCTTAGTGTTCTTCTCTGGTTGAAACAAAATTATGAAACACTTTGGAGCAAATATACAAAGTACCAGTCCAAAGCTGGAGGCCAAAATGGCAAATATCTCTACAGCAACAGTAAATTTTCCAGGAGAGCTGACATATGCAGGGATGAAGGTGATCCAGACAGCACAGAATATTAACATACTGAAGGTGATCAGTTTGGCTTCATTAAAATTGTCAGGTAGTTTCCGAGCTAGAATAGCTAAAACAAAGCAAAACAGAGCAAGTAGGCCGATGTAGCCAAGCACAGCCCAGAAACCAACAACAGAGCCTAATGCACATTCCAGGATTATCTTCTCCTTGTAGGTGGATAGATTTTTCACTGGGAAAGGAGGACTCAGAACTAACCACACAGTGCATATCAAAACTTGAATAAATGTAAATGACACTACTGTTATTCTTTGTTGTGGGGGACCAAACCATTTCATAGCATTACTTCCTGGAAGTGTTGCTTTAAAAGCCATTAAAACTACTATAGTTTTCCCTAGGACACAGGAGATACAGAGAACAAAGGTGATGCCAAATGCTGTGTGTCGCAGCATGCATGACCACTCAGAAGGTGCTCCAATAAAAGTTAATGAACATAAAAAGCATAGAGCCAGAGAGAAGAGCAGCAGGAAACTCAGCTCAGAGTTGTTTGCTCTGACAATCGGAGTCATCCTGTGCTTAAAGAAAATTATTCCTGTAATCGTGGTCAGACAGGCCCCACTAATAGAGAATGCCACCAGGATGACTGAAAGAACTTCATTGAAGGAAAGAAACTCTACAGGTTTGGGGATACAAACATCTTTTTTTGCATTCGGCCAGAACTCTTTGGGACAGTGGAAGCAATCAGGAGAATCTGAAAATAAGAGCAAAAATGTCACCAAAAATTTGATGATAATGTTTCACATAAACACTCATTAAATTCACCTGTCTGATTACTGATCTCTCCTTCAGGACATGGTGTACAATCATAGCAGCAGATGGGCTGTCCTTTCTGCAACACCTTTCGAGTTCCAGGAGGACAACTTTGAGAGCACACTGACACTGGCACCTGAAAAACGGATAACATTGTGAGTTTGATTCTCTTTTATAAACTGGTTTGACTAATTAGTTCAAGACCCTGTGATTTATAGTGTATAAATTAAAATAATTTGAATAATTTAAGCAGTTACCTGGGTGCCACCATCCAGCCAGGTTAAGTTCCTAAAGATTCTAAACTCCTGGCCTACTGGGAGAGAAGCATCATAGTACCCAACTGTTACCAGTTCAATTTCTCCACTATCACTCTTTTGCCAGTTTACAAGCTCATAAAAAGCCACAGGGTCTCCATTTGCTTTAAATGAAACGTTGTAACCATTTTGAATAAACTTTACTTTCTTTAACTCAGCAACAATCTAGGAAATAAAGAAACACAAAGGGAGGGGTATCAATATCAAGCAAAATAATTGTTTAAATAACCATTATATCACATGAAAAAACTTTAAGATCAACATTAGAATTTAACTAACCTTCTTAGGATCAAAATTCATGTTTTTGTTACACTTTGTCAAGCCATTTGTATTCTGACATGCAGCATTGTGAATAGCATGTGCTATAGCATAAACAGCCTTGTAAACCATGTTGGAAATTCTCAACTGAGATGTGTCGGTGTACAAGCTTTCAACTGTTCTGATATCTTCAGTTCCATTACATTCTCTTCTGTAGAGATAAGTGTCTAAATAGAAATGAAAACATGCAGATTGCTCAAAGAAAAGTTGTACATGGAGCCCATTTTGGTTACCTGACAGTTATCAAGACTATTAGACTATTTTTTTTCCTTACGCCAGCCCTTCAGGGGGTGGTCATACTTTTAAAGTGGGTTTGTTGCCAAGAAAAGGAAAGAGAAACTTCCAGCTATCATACAGACCAATGCATGCAAGAAGAAATAAGCACTTTTCAAACTAAGGTTTCAATGAAGTCCTGCAATAATGGACTTTGGACAAACAAGCTTCTTCTAAATTTATAAAAAAAAAGTGAAACCCTGGAGTGAAACACCTACTGGCTTGGTCACTGCAAAGGAAAATCAAAATAAAATTGCTGTATTAGTTAAAAAATAATCACGATATAGATTTTTTGCAAAATTGTTCAGCCACCTTTTTTTATTTAAAAAACATTATAGATTTTTTTTATACAGAAAAAGAACAAATACCTTAAGATAAAGCCACCATGATAACTCCCAGCAATTAGACAATAAAGCACAAGAAATGCTATGTTAGGATAAAATCTACACATGGTATAACTTGGACAATTTTGTCTCACCCCTCATTCTGTGAAGTAACTTCTGATGGGTAGAGTAGCCACAGTTTTTATTCAAATATCATAATTAGTTTATATTAATGTCACTTAAGTAAATCTAACAGGTATGGTGACATAAAATGTCTTCCAGAAGTACTTTTTTTTGAAACACTCAAGTAAATATCAATGAAAAAATATAACTTGTTGCTACCCACCTCTGCTCTTTCTTAGGCTGCAGTTGAACACCTCCTCCCAGAATTCAGTCAGAACTGAGGAGGCAGCCACTTCAGATGGAGAGAGATCCAGGAGGAATTCTCTCAGACCTGGGATGACAGATTGCTGAATGGCAACTCCGATGGTCCCTGCACAGAAACTGAAGCTCATTGAGAGTTGGTCAGTTACCCAGGATTCACTTCCAATCCACTGACGAGGTGGAGGAGGATCTCGAGCCAGCTCTTCCAAAAGAAACTTCATATCACCATCAGCTGCAAATGCCACAACAACTACAGCTGATGACCTGCAGAAAAATTACAAATTGATTTAAACTAATAGGCCCACCATTATTTGATTTTATGCATACATGCATTTGGTATTAGTAAAAATTACAGGGCTCCACCTTGAAAAACATGAAAATGCTTCGTTCTCATAGCCTAAGGTAATTTTTTTTGTAATACAATTTATAAAAGGCATTCTGTTGAGTTTCAGAAGACCTCGACAGATGTTTTCTGAAACTCTACAAAAAAATTTCTTGAAAAATACATGAAACACAGGATGCAGACCTGCGGATAACATCAGCAACTTTTTTGATCTTGCTTGGTGTGTCAGTCCGATAAAATGATTCAATATACTCCACACAGATACCCTCTCTGTTTGCTGTCTTAAGGAAGGACGCCATGCCATTATTTCCATAGTCAGAGTCTGAGTGAACAGCACCTATCCATGTCCAACCAAAATATTTCACGAGCTTGGCCAGGGCATCGGCTTGGAAATCATCACTAGGAATTGTTCTGAAAAAAGTTGGATATTCTTTTTTATCAGATAGGCAGGCACAAGTGGCAAAATGGCTGACCTACATAGAAAATAACATACAATAAACATATCAGCCTTAATATCTACACAGGTACATTTCATAGTTGTATTTTCAAATTAATTTGTTCTACCAACCAGAGGAATGTTAAAGGAGCCCATAAGTCGTGAGATGCTGATGGTTGGAGTAGATCCTGAGTCTCCAACAGCAGCCATCACCATACCAGACTGTGAGCAGTTGCTGTCTTTATAAAACAGAGGGTCCTGACCATTTAATAATTGAAAGGCAACATGCACAGCAATGGGAACAGCACCACAGGTGTCATAGATCTGATAACCAAGTCTGATACCTGGCAGCAATTCTGTGCTGTTATTTATCTCCTTTATTGCAAAAATCATTGTGCGGGAGAAGCGCAACTCCCTGGCATCAAAGCTGCAAAAGACAATTATTCTTGATGTTTAACCAACATAAAAAAAAAATATATTCTCTTATAACAATATAACAAAAGGCATTTGAAGGTAGTAAATGTCATAGACTAAAAATGTATATGATTTTAACGCTCTATAAAAGGGGTGTCAAACTGGTTCCAGAAAGGGCCGTGTGGCTGCAGGTTTTCTCTCCAACCAAGGAATAGCACACCAGACTCCATTCATCAAGTCATCATACTGTATTCAGATTGGACTCACTTGATGAGATGTCTGGAGTCGGGTGTGCTATTGTATGGTTGGCAAGGAAACCTGCAGCCACACTGCCCTTTCTGGAACAACTTTGACACCCCTGCTCTAGAATATTCCCTCAAATTTGCACGAGTAAGACAACTTCAGAAAATAAAGCAGGAAATCAGTTTACAAAGTGAGTGCTGATTTCATATTACAAAAGACTAAAAGGCACAAGCAAAAATCTAAAAAGGATTTAAAAAAAAAAAACAACTGTGCAAGCTGGAGCATTATCCATATTGGTAGTACCAAGTATGTAATTAACTTATGCATTTCTAAGGAAAAAGTGTAGAAATGAGCTATAAAAAAAGGCAAATATTCAGGTCAGTTTCAATTAAATATCATATCATCACAATCCAATATTAAAACATAGGCTTTGTATATGGTAAATGCTCTTACCATTCTTCTCATTATGAAACATAAAAAAAACTGTCCAATAACTAACCTTCCTATGCATCTTGGAAGCTCAGGCTCAGTGGTGTAGTTATGAAATAAAGTTTGCATTTTGTAGTGAATGAAGAAAGCACCTCCAATTACAAAATCTCCATCCATTGAGAATGCAGGCAAAAGAGGAGTACCCTGCAGGGTACATTGCACTGATGAGGATTTGACACTGCCACCAGTAGCAGACAGAGCGTTTGTATGGTGAATGATTTGCTTCATATTATCTAGAGTCCCACCCAAAATGAGAACAATGATTAGTTCAAAGAAACTCACAGCTAATCTCAGGCCAGTCTCCATTTGAGATGTGTATGGATTAGGAAGTAAGTGTGTTTTTATTGGCTTTTTAACAGCTATGATCTGTCAGGTGGTCACGAGTTAAAAATAACACACACCCACCCTGTTGTCTTTGATTATGTCTCAAAATGACGTAACACAAAATTTCCACTGCTTCACTATCTCTACTTTCATTACTAAACATTTACTTTCACTGCAATACACATATGCAGTTATACAATATTACATATTAGTTTACCACAAACACTTGTCAATAATATTTTAAATATTTATAATATCATAAATAAATAAGTATCATACTGAATACAGAATCTCTGATGTTTAACCTCTCTGGCTCTAACCCCTGCCCACTAATTATTGAGCTGCTGGCAAAAAAACAATCAATGTAGTAACCATCTAAAAAGAGAAAGTAATCTAATACAGGCAGGATTATTTTGACCATACAAACTCGAAGGTTGCACAGTTCAAGTAAAGAATAGAAGAATACCCATTTACAAGCAACATCAAAAGTATGTGGGAGAGGATTCAAACTATGGCCCTATAAAAGGACAGTTTAAGTTAGTGATGTTCAATGTCACCAATTTCCTTTCTGATCTAATATTTAGTAAAGATGGCATCAGTGATACTAATCTGACAAAGATACATTGTGTGGATATACAATATGTGATAGTTGAAAGTACAAATGGTTTAATGGTTTTATAATACTGACTATTTAATTAAGAATAACTTAAGCTTCGACAAACTTTATTGTCATCTTGTATACTTGTATACACAGAGTGTATACAAAACAATATTTCAATGCATACATCTTTTTAACAGTGAATCAGCAGCTTACAACAGTGAAATAAAAAATTTCTGTCATAAACGGAGGCAGATCGAACCAGTACTCAAGGCGAGACAGACTGTGGGAAAGTTCAAAAGTTTTATTAACACAAAATATACCAATCAGAAGCGTGGAGCTGTAATTTTTTTATTACAGCGGCTGCAGGGGGGGGGCACCACCCAATCACGGACATCCTGGAGGTAGAAACACAGGTAAGTGACCACGATCATCTGATGGGAGATCATTATCCTTGTGAGTCAGTTACCTGGTTTAACAGTTCAGTCCATCCTCTCCGAGGAAGGCGGGATCCAGCCCAACCAGCAGTTCCGATCTGAAAAAAGGAACAGACAGGTCCAGGGTACCAGGAATACACAGAGCGTTAAGGCAGGTTCAGAGCTCCATGAGTCCAGCAGCAGCCTCAGACAGATATGCACAGATACAGACAGGCAAGCTCAGCAGTTGAGGGACAGAGATAAGAGTTGGTACCAGGAGAACTGCAGAACTTTAAACTGGACTAAGCTGGGAGCTTAATCTGATAGCTGGGGTGAGCCAAATATAAAGCAACAGACACAGGTGGATAAAATGAGTGATGATTAGGAACCAGGCAAAGTTAGGCAGGTAAATGAAGTGAACAGTTAAGGTCAGCTACCAGGGAAGATCATGAGATTTTCATTTATAAAGTGCAGCAGTGATCAGAAAAAATTGAGGCAAAATGCAGTAGAAACATTGAGTTGAGTTCTATTTAAAGGGATTTGAAAATAATATGTCAAATTGGTTATAAATACTTTGAACATCTACATCTGAAATATTAAACTTATAAGAAAATACACTGTTTGTGAATATTAGTATGTACTTGCTTTTCATAAACTGTTGTGTTTAAGCTATCTGCGATATTTTTTTCAAAGTCCCCCATAGCTATTTTATTTCAAGCACTCTGTATAGATTAATGACACCTAGTCAATATAATTCACTTTAAATGATTAATTATTTCTCCTATGAAACAATGAGCATAGTAATGCATGTTATGCTGAAGTCATACAGCTATATGTTAAAGAATGTTTGTTCATAACTCATAAGATACTTAGCGTTATTTAAAACTCCACATATTCTCCCTCAGTGCTTAGATTGTAGCTGTCTGAAGCACTCTTATACCTACATTTCATATTGTCTGTTACCTCAGACAAAGCAACTGAGTAGTTCTATGTTAAATGTTAAACCATTCCACATTTTCTGTGACTTCTCCAAATGCCATCGTCAACATATATGTTCTCCATCCTTCCCCTCCAAAATATAGATCAAGTACATGCGTTGCTCAGTTCCAGTCAGTTTGGCTCCGGCCAGTACAAGCTCAGCAAATGCAACATATCAAACAAGAAAACTGCACATTAAACTGAAAGTTAAGAAAATCTGGTTTGTCAAAATAAAATAGGGCCAGATCCTTAAACATATATAAAAAAACATGTTTTTAAAATATTCACAACAAATATTCACACACATTTTTATTTACTGTTTTATTTGATTATTGGAAGTAAATCTATTGATACTTTAACATACAAGGAAGCAGATTTGTCATCTTGATCAAAATATTAAATTTATTCGAAAAGGCTTAGAAATTCCATCTCATCCTTTGGCAACAACCTTCAAGAACGCTTCTCACAACTTCAGGAGTTACTTCTTATTGCAGACTTGGACAAAGGGATGCTGATTGTGTAAGTGGAGATGTCGAAGGCAAGTTTTATTGCTCTTAAACTAAATCAAGCATTCATTACCTCATGATGTGCTCCTATGTATTTGCAAATAATAATAATATAATATTTTGTTTGCTCTCCTCGAGCTCCATGCAACTCAGAATGGAGCAAGATGGGAGTAAGAATGGAAGCCGTAGGTGTTGCTTCATGAAGAGGCGGTCTGGAAGGTTATGGAGACGTTAAAGATTGGCGGTCAGCAACCTGCGGCTCCAGAGCTGCATGTATCTCTGTAGCACCCTCCTTGCAACTCAATGGAGCTTTTTCAAAGCAATCAAAATGGGAAAATATGCACAGTGCCACGCTGAATGGTGGTACAGTGCCAGGCAGGTGGCTGTTGTAAACAAACCGGTGCACTGTAATTGAATTATACCAGCTTATTTAATTTACATAGCCTACTTACCTTATCAAAAGGCTACTGTTGCAGGATGTGTTTTACTGCACTGTTGCCCCAATAAGGGGTGGAAAAAAGGATTATTTTCTAACTGTGGCTTGAAGAGTACTGCATTTTATTTCCACATGGAAGTTTAAAACTTGAGTCTTATTATGCATGTTTAAATTTTTTATGAATCCTCGAAATAAAAATAACACCAAAAATATGATTTCTTTACTGTATTTCTATAATTCCATTGATTCTAGAAATTATCATACATTAATACTGTAATGGAAGTCGCATGGTGTGTCATTTTCTCCAGGATGCCCTGCAGCTAAAATAAATATGGGCCAGGGCGCCTGCAATGTGTTAAGGAGAGGATGACCAGTGCCATGTATTGCAAGATTTTAGGGAACAACCTCCTTCCCTCAGTTAGAACACTGAATATGGGTCCAGGCTGGGTCTTCCAACATGACAGTAACCCAAACCACAAAGCCAGGATAGCCAAGGAGTGGTTCTGTAAGAAGCATATGAATGTCCTGCCATGGCCTAGCCAGTCTCCAGACCTGAACTTGATAGAAAATATTTGGAGGGAGCTCAATCTCTCTGTTTCTCGGCGGCAGCCCAGAAACCTGACTGATCTAGAGAAGATCAGTGTGGAGAATCAGGCCAAAATCCCTCCTGCAGCTTATGCAAACCTGGTGAAAAAGTACAGAAACACTGACCTCTGTATTTGCAAACCAAGGCTACTTGTATATTAATATTAATGTTTAGATATGCTGATGAAGGTTCTCAGTCATCCAGGTCATAGTCATTCCGTAAAAAAAAAGACTCAAACTCACTGCGGATCCAGACATTTGAATTGAGAAAGCTTCCTGGAAAGGTGGCGAAACGTCTTCAAATCTTGAAAACCAAGTCCAGTGGATATTTTTTGAATTTTTACGGAATTAATGTTTAGAAACTTCATATTAATGCACCAAAGATTAATGTTTAGAACTGCTTGTGAGTCTTGAAGAACTGTTGAAGAACTGACTGTTGAACTTTTAACTGAGGTATCATTAGTTGAAAGTTGTGTTGTGGTTACGTGAACGATTGGGAATAGACAACATAAAAATATTGGGAATTAACAGCACACAGCACATATTGCAAAATACTTGTTTTTCCTCATCAGATGGTTATCAATTTTTATAAATTCATATGATGTGATTTTCTGGAATTTTCTTTGGGATTCTGTCTTTCACTGTTAGAATGTACATATGATTAAAATTATAGATCGTTGCATTCTTTGTAAGTGGGCAAACCTGCAAAATCAGCAAGGGGTCAAATACTTATTTCCCCCACTGTATGGATGGATGGATGGATGGATGGATGGATGGATGGATGGATGGATGGATGGATGGATGGATGGATGGATGGATGGATGGATGGATGGATGATATAGTTGGTTGTATCATTTCTGTAAATTATGTCATTATATAAAAGGGGAAACAAGGGGAAAGGCATTATGTCTTAATAGAACACCTGACGTATAAGAGGAGGAGAGTTGTGAATTATTAAAAGCACAGTTTAATCCAAATAGCGGCACTTGCACCTGAGAAATGGCAATCAGGGCTGTCTATATTGGCTTAAGTTTGGCACTGATTTTGGTGAGGCTGATGTCACTAGTTAGTTTGTGTAGCATTGACTATGGCTTAAAACAACAGTTAGACTTTGGAAAATCTTTAAAGACTTCTGTTTTCACTAGTGGGGCTTCGTCTGTGAAGTGTACTCTACTGGGTAGCTCTCATTTACCTGCATTCTCATTGTCTGGGGACTTTCTTATTGGAGGTGTTTCTACTATTCATTACCAACATCATGCTGTGATTTATAACTATACCACCAAGCCTGACTCTCCAAGATGCACAGGGAGGTTAGTAAGAGGAGGAGGTAGAAAACTATTTTGCATGTGTAATCTGTTTTTTGCTGCAAATTTTGCTTTCAAATCTGGCAGCAAATAAGGAAATTATTTTATTCTTCAGGTCTCACAATAAGATAAAATCTCAAATAGTCAGCATTACTTTATTTTTTGTATTGTTATTTTTTTTTTTGAAAAATATCAATGATATTGGAAATCAAAGTAATATCTTTTTTTTTTTTGTTCTAGTTTAAATTTGCATGAATGCTTTTCTTTTAAATCCTTAATTTTGCTGGACAGGAAACACTTTTGTGGTAATGCATAGTCAAAATAAATATATTTTTTGTGTGTTATGTTTTGATTGCTCAAATGTTCAATTTTTATGTGGATGCACTTTTTATGTAAACATCTGCACTCACCTAACTGATTTGTTTCAGCTTTAATGCTAGGGGTCTGCGTTTTTCTCGCACTATAATCTTTGCCATCGAGGAGATAAACAACAGCACAGAGCTGCTGCCTGGCATCACTCTTGGATATCAAATATTTGATTCATGCATCTCCATGCCTGTTTCAGTGCTTGTTGCAGTTCAGCTTTTAAATGGAGAGGAGCCTTTGTTCTACAAAGGCACAAATTGTTCACAATCTGGTGTGGTAATGGGTGTTGTTGGAGACTCTGGATCCACTCCCTCCATCAGCATGTCCCGTATCTTTGGATCATTCAACATTCCTCTGGTAAGAATTTTAAGTTTTATTGTTAACAAAAAAATATATATATATTAAATGCTGGTCATTTTGGAGTTTTTTTTTCCTGTTATATCTTTGTAGGTCAGCAGCTTCTCTACTTGTGCCTGCTTATCAGATAAGCAGCAGTTCCCATCTTTTTTCAGAACAATTCCCAGTGACCACTACCAAGCTGATGCACTGGCCAAGCTGGTAAAACATTTTGGCTGGACTTGGATAGGTGTTGTTCACTCAAACTCAGACTATGGAAATGATGGTATAGCCTCTTTTCTTAAAGCAGTTGTGAGAGAGGGGATCTGTGTTGAGTACACCGAGTCCTTCTTTAGAACTGATCCAAGAAGCAGCATCCAAAGAGTTGCTGATGTTATCCGCAGGTTCGTACATTATTTATTCTACCTCAACAAGGTGTCTCTCATAGGCAGTTTCAGGGTGCTAAACTGTAAACTCAAAGCACAGATGAAGAGTTTCTTTGATAAAGCTTTGAGATGTGTGGCTTTTGTTTAATATTAAAGGAATTTGATCAACACATTTCAATGTCTCTTCAGATCTACAGCAAAGGTTGTTGTGGCATTTACAGCTGTTGGTGACATGAAAGTCCTTTTAGAGGAGTTGGCTCTGGACCTTCCTTCGCCTCGTCAGTGGATAGCGAGCGAAGCTTGGGTAACTGACCCTAACCTGATGAGCTTCAGTTTCTGTGCAGGGGCCATCGGAGTAGCCATTCAGCGATCTGTCATTCCAGGGTTGAGAGACTTCCTTCTAAATATCTCTCCCTCTGAATTGGCTGCCTCTTCAGTACTGACTGAGTTCTGGGAAGATGCATTCAATTGCAAACTGAATGAAAGTGAGGAACTTGAAAAAAGTATTGAAGATCAATAAAAAATTATTCATATTTGCAATTTCTTTAGCAATACACAGACCATTTTCATGTTTATTATTAAAATCTGATAATATACTTTGATATGGCATCTCATTTTATATAATATATATATCTAATATATATATATATATTTATTTCCATTTATATAGAGATATACATACATTTTATATAACATGCAATAGAATATAATATATATATATATATAATAAAATAGAAATATATTTATGTTTAATTTCTTTTATCCAGTTAAGATGATGTGTATTGTGTAAGTTTGTATCAAAATGAAAAGACCTGAATGCGTGTTAACTTACTGAGGAAAACGAAAGGATTCACTTGAACTAATATTAACTTAATGGGGCAAACACTGTTTGAGTCGGTATATTATCAAATTTAAAAGAGGAAACCATTTGTTTCAAAAATCTAGGTTCATTTACAGGTCATCTTTGGTTACTTGGATGATTACCAGTACTCTTTTCTTAAAATATGCTGATCTGTGTCGCCTATGCTATGCTGTGTGACTGACAAGTACCCAATCACCTTGCAAGTTTACATATTATTATAGAAATGTTAGAGGATACAGGAGCAACTATGGGAAAACATGTATAAACTACTACTGTATATTCATTCACAACTTGTTTCATTTATCTATCTAGCTTATTGTTTTACAGAAATTCAAATCAAACATTTTTATATTTTTCTTCAGGTCTTGATTCAGACAAAAGAGTGTGTGATGGAACTGAGACACTTCAAAGCCTTAAAAATCCATACACTGAAACATCGCAGCTAAGGGTTACTAATATGATGTACAAGGCTGTTTTTGCAATGGCACATGCTATTCACAATGCAGTCTGCAAAGAAATAAATGCAACCATCCAATGTGATAAACACATCAAACTGGAGCCCAAACAGGTTAGTGATTATATGCAGATCCTAAAACATTTCATCAGCCATTATATAGGGCTATTTCAATGCAAACACTATTTTAGTCATCTTTGTTGTCATTCAGATGCAAGATTTTCAGTTTCTTTCCTATGTCTATTTTTACCTCTAAGGTCTTTACTGAATTAAAGAAAGTAAACTTCTCCAAGAATGGTTACCAAGTTTCGTTTGATGCAAATGGTGATCCAGTGGCTTTTTACGAGCTTGTCAATTGGCAGAGAGGGGAAAGTGGAAGTATTGAGCTGGTTACAGTGGGGTATTATGATGCATCACTTCCCAAGGGCCAGGAGTTTCATATCAACAGAAACATAACCTGGGCATATGGTGGCACACAAGTAATAACTCTAAAGACAACAACTGAAGAGATTTTGAGTTTAAATGATTAAACAAAGCTGTTTTCAAAAAATACTGAAACTTTTTAAGCATGTTTTAAGTGTTTTAATGTAAAATTTGTGATACAGGTACCGGTGTCAATGTGCTCCAAGAATTGTCCTCCAGGAACTCGTAAAGTCTTGCAAAAAGGAAAACCTATCTGTTGCTATGACTGCATACCATGTCCTGAAGGAGAGATCAGTAACATGACAAGTAATATCAAATGTCTTTAGGTATAACCACAGCCTTAAATAATATGTACATAATTGTTTTTCAATGTTATTTTTTGTAGATTCTCCTGACTGCTTCTCATGCTCCAGAGAGTTCTGGCCTAATGCAGAGAAAGATGCTTGTTTTCCCAAACCTGTGGAGTTTCTCTCCTTTGATGAATCCCTTTCAATCATCCTGGCTGCATTCTCTGTTGGCGGGGCCTGTCTGGCGATCATAACACTAGTTATTTTCTTTCGTCACAGGAAATCCCCAATTGTCAGAGCAAACAATTCTGAGCTGAGCTTCCTGCTGCTCTTCTCTTTGACTCTTTGCTTTTTATGTTCTTTAACTTTCATTGGAGAACCTTCTGAGTGGTCCTGCATGCTGCGGCACACAGCGTTTGGCATCACCTTTGTTCTCTGTATCTCCTGTGTACTTGGAAAAACTGTTATGGTTTTAATGGCCTTTAAAGCTACATTGCCTGGAAACAATGTTATGAAATGGTTTGGACCTCCACAGCAACGAATAACTGTGGTAATTCTCACATTTTTCCAAGTATTAATATGTATTGTGTGGTTGATTCTGAGTCCTCCCTTTCCAATGAAAAATCTAAACACATACAAAGAAAAGATCATCCTTGAATGTGCGTTAGGCTCTGCTATTGGTTTCTGGGTCGTTCTTGGTTACATCGGTCTGTTGGCTGTTTTTTGCTTTATTTTAGCTGTTCTGGCTAGGAAACTACCAGATAATTTTAATGAAGCAAAGATGATCACCTTCAGCATGTTGATATTTTGTGCAGTCTGGATCACCTTCATCCCAGCATATGTCAGCTCTCCTGGAAAATTTACTGTTGCAGTGGAGATATTTGCAATTTTGGCCTCCACCTTTGGATTGATACTCTGTATATTTGCTCCAAAGTGTTTTATTATTGTGTTTCAACCACAAAAGAATACTAAGAAGTACCTAATGAACAAGAACTAAAAACATAAATAAATCTGCATGATTTTTTTTATATTTACATTATGATAACTTTATTTTAAAAATCTGTTGTTCTGGCACACATGACCAAAACAACTGATGTAAAAACTTTTTAGTTAGTTTTTTTTTCATTTACTGTAAGTACATTTCTACTTACAGTTTATTTGTTTAAATATTAACAAACTAAGTCTAATTGAATTTATATGAATTTCTTTTCTCTTAATTTATAGTTGTGCTTGAACGTTTAAATACCATATAAATTCATACTTGTAATTCAAATTACCCAAAACAAAAAAAATAATATCAAATAAAATAATATTTTAGTAAAATAAAATATTTATTTTTAATTTGTATTTTTAAAAATACTTAAAATAAACAAAAAAGAAGTCCCAGACAATTTAAAGTACCTTACTTACAGTATGAGCAGTGAACCACTCTACCTGTTGACAGGTGAAGAGGCCTTACTGAATATTCCCTTAACTTAGAGAACTTACAGAAAACACCTTATTTCAGTGATTGCCTCAAAGTTTTGCTTAACAAAATTTTATTTCAGGAATTTATTTTACTGGCAGCAGGTTTATATATGCTATGTCATTTGTCATTTGCTATGTCATAGTTTTTTCTATTTATTTAAAAGAAGCATTTTTAAATACACATTTTTTATAATGTTCCCCAGTCACAGTAGAATGGACTTTACATCATTGCAGGTAACATAAATTAAGGTTTTTATATAACTATTTTGCCATGACATTCAGTCCCTTTATGATGAATTACCTAGGGTCAATTCTGTGTACTACATACACATACAGGCTCTCAATAGGTAGAATTATCAGATGGCATGGGATTAATTTCCACTGCTATGCTGATGATACTCAGCTATATAAACCCTTTGGATTGTTGTATTGTTTTGACGAAAAGGTTGTAACTATGACCTTCAAATGCCATGAAAAAAACTGAAACAGGTTGTGCCCTCCGACTAAAACTGGCTGAACAGACATTTAATAGAATACGTGATTTTTATCCAAATAACATCTCTATTCTGATGAAAGTAAAAGGTGAAAATCCATAATTTTCACATAATTGAAAAGATGTTGCAAAATTTATTTGCAAGGTCTTTTGGATGTCTATTATTGAACTAAAGTTGGACAAAACCAGACTGACCAAACACATCCTAATTTTCAACAACTATTTCTGGGCTAAATCAAGACTATGACAGACTGACAAGATTTAGTCTAAAAACCATTATCTAAATCATGTCTGGTGTTTGGGTCCTGGCCTGTGGTTAGCAGTTTAGTTCTCTGTTAATATACCAGGGTTAGCTCATTGTTTGTGGCCTAGCTAGTTGTTGCTTGCCGAAATTAGCTGTGGTAAGCTATCAGTTCCCATGGCAAGAGAAGCGATGCTTCTCCCTCATCACCGCTCATTTCAATGACATCACAATGATGTCACATCAAATACATTACGTTGATTGGTAATTGTTCATTATTGGATTAAGTGAAACTTGATTAAATTGAAAGTTACCAAAGACCATTGTAACAAATCTGCTATATATCTTTTCTACTGCCAATCAACAGCTGAGCCAAAGGACTGAACATTATTAGACACTCCTTCAAGAACTCATTTGAAATCTTTTGTGTTAACTATTTATTTAATGTGTTCTTTGTTTATTCCAGTAATTTGTAGTGTCTGTATAGATTATTAAAATAATAATACTTTAAAAGGAATTATTAGGTTCAATAAATAAAGGACCAGTTCTGTTTTAATTGTGGTATTGTGTGATTATTTATACAGCAGTAACTGACTGTCTAAAAAGAGCAGAGCCTACCTGTTTTGGTTAACAACTTGAATGGAGACAAAGAGACAAATATTTTCTTTGTGGTTAATGATTAATAACTGCTCAATTCATAAACCCAATTATTGACATTAACTGGGGTCTTTCTGCATTGAGTTTGCATGTTCTCCCTGAGCATGCATTGGTTCTCTCCTGGTACTCCGGCTTGCTCCCACAGTCCAAAAACATGACTGTTAGGTTAACTGGCTTCTCTAAATTCTCCTTAGGTGTGAGGGTGTGTGTGAATGGTTGTTTGTACTCTTTGTCTCTTTGTTGCCCTGCGATGGACTGCCTGTAGACAGCTGGAGATAGACAACAGCTCCCCTCGCAACCCCAGAAGGGATAAGCGTGATGGAAAATGGATGGATCAGAATCAGAATCA